TGAGTAACATGAAAGATCTTCCAATCGCAGGATGTGCCTCCATATCTGTATATTTTTCCTCTAATTTGTTTTTTATTGTTTGGTCTTTCCCTTTAACATGTCATCTATCTAATTCTTTGCTTATATATTTGGCAGGTAAAGCTTAACAATATGTTGTACCACACATCTAGAATAAACTGCTTGGCTTGGTCACCTACTAACAACATGGTAGCCACGGTATCACTTGACACATGCGTTATTATATACGAAATAAAAAAGCCAGCATCAAGTCGAATAACTGTCAAAGGAGCTCATTTGGGTGGAGTCTATGGGTTGGAATTTACTGATGAATACAATGTGGTGAGTTCGGGCGAGGATGCTTTTGTACGTTTATGGAGAATAACGCCGCAATAATGTACAAGGTTCGTTACCCTTGAGTTATTTGCATTTGGCTTCCTTAAAGTTGAAAAAGAGACAAACATTCATAGATGAAAAATTTGGTTGCCTTGAGGTCTTGACAGTTTTTTAAGAGACTTGTCTTTTGCCATCCTTTTATAGTTTGCTAACGACGGACATCATTGCAGCCCAAAAACGTGCACATAAGGTTTGCTTGAAGATAATCATTATGTCACAATATGTGTAAATCCATCGCATCCTGCCAATTTGCTGCATTGTACGAGTTAAGATATTATCTTGGCACATAACTTGTCTAGTTTTTTATTTTTGTTTTTTGATGTGTGTGCAGAACTTTGTACTTATTCATGTTTATGTTTCAGCGTCCTTTCGATTTTGGTTTTGTAATTAGTTAATGAGAATGATGCAAGCGTGTTACTATTATTGTTCATGAGTTGCTTTGTTTTTAATAATATGCAAGAGGCAAATTCATTTGCTTAAATTTTTCTTGGAATTTTATCTCCTTTGCAACTATTTGATTGATTTAGTATTCAAGTCGTTTACCAAACATGGAATTTTAAACTTGTTTCTCTCTCTTATTTGAGACAAGTTACGAATATGGAATATTCTTTTCCATTGCAGGGAAAGAAGCTGTTTTGTAGATTACCTAGAGAAATAGGTAAAAGAAGTTTCATCCAATAGTTTGTCCCTTTTTAGTTATACACATTTATTCCTCAAAATATTTCAACTCAATAAATTTTTTTGCTTAAAACAGGTCCTAAGAGAAGCTTTGGGACAAAGTTATAAAAGGTCTTATATAGTTTGCTATGTAATCGTGCTTATGTAGATTTTTTTTTTTTTTTTAATTTTTATGCAAATTCCTTGACTGGGTGGTGGTAAGCGTGTTATAGCCCAATAAACTCATTTTTTTTTATTGACAAGTAATTAATGATGAGGTAATAGTTAGTGGTTCATCCGAGAGAATGATAAGTCACACTAGAATTGAGGCAGCATTGGGGAATTTTTCGCAAAAAGTGAAAGCCTTGATGGAATAATGTCTGTTGCTGTACCGTAAAATCACAAAGCATGGTAGGAATAGAATAAACATCGTTGAAATTCTACGCCGAGGTTTTCCATCTTATATGTGGTCTGGAATATTGTGAATGTTTAGAATGCAATATTAATTCTCATTCATCCAATCCAGTGCAGAATTGCGAGTGATATTTAGTGGCCCAAGATTTTGATGTGAAATCTTAGAAGTATTAGGCAAGTGGCCCGTCAATTCACGGGTCTCTTTAACGAACTGCCGCCTTTTCAGCAATGATGCGGTGCGGAGGGAGGTTTCTTGGACCATTTCGAGCAATATTAGAAAAATGGACCATCCATCCTATTATATCCTTGGATGCACGCCTCTCTCAATGTCAATGGACCAATCTGTCATGGCCCATCCCTCCTAGAAATACCTTTATTAGATTAGAAAAGAAGAAGAAGAAGATTTGATGTGATTGGCATTTTGATGTCTTCTGTCAATTAAGAGTGAAATTAAAAGATGTTCAATTCACATTTCGTCTGAGAGTGTAGTTCTTTATGCTCGTTTTAGTGGTTCAACCAATAAATCAATCACGAAATAAAAAAATATTTTGGCGAATAATGCTCCTTGTACATTCTTTGAATGACATGAAGTTTGACATGTAGAGTGCGTTTGATTGCCTATATTTTTCATGGAAAACTTGTTTTTTCCACTCAAATTCCTACTTTTGTGCTGTTTGATTGCCATTTTTTTCCATGGAAAATATTTTTCCACTTTTAGTCATGTGACGATATTTTCCTCAAAATCAAGGATAATATTTTCTTTAGAAAGAGTAGGATTTTATTTTTCATGAAATTCGCTCTTTTCTTCTCTCTTTTATTTATCCACTCACTCTCATTAACCAACCAATAAAAAATGGATAAGTATAATATTTTCTAAGTTGAAAATTAAATCAATCAAACACATTTAATTGATAATTTTCATACAAATAAATTCTAGGCAATTGAATTACCTAGAATTTATTTTCTTTCCATGTAAATTTCATACTTGCAATCAAACGTACTTGTAGTGTAAATTCAAATTGTGTTTGGCGGAAAACTTTGTTGAATTCAGAAATTGTTCACTCATGTGCAACCATGTGAAACAATGTCAAAGATGGTGTAAAAGATAATATACAAGTAGCATGGTCGTATTTTGGAGGACATATCCAAATTGTCTCGGGATTGGGAAAAGAGTAATGATTTGTCGCATAAGTTGGTACCCCACCTATATTCTATTGTATTTGACTTGAAAGGTAAACATGTTGCCCACATGGGACTCTGTACTGTACATGAAGATGAACAATATGTCAATATCGATGAATCCATTTTAAGAACATTTAGCTTGTCTGTCGGATGAAGATTAAGATTAAATTTTTAGTAAATTTTGATAAAAGTTGATGAAATGTGTGGTTTAAAAATTGAGGGTTTTATAAAATATATGATCAAAATTAATTATTGATTTATATTTAAATTTTAATTCCTATTAACATGAATTTGATTATTTATGCTAATTATTGAATCATTTTGGATAAAATTCGTTTGGATCGCGCCATGTTTCGAGTTGCAATTTTTGACCATGCAATCTTGTGCCTAACCATGACCATCTCATCTTAAGCGCTAGTATGTAGAATATGCGCTGACGTCCTCCGAAATTTATCGGCAAATACGGTCTGTTGAACATAATTTGCGAATAAAATTTTTTTAGTAACTTTTTGAATCATAAAATATAATTTTTTAATTGGTATCCACTTTAAAAATGAGATTCTCTTTTATTTTGAAAGAGTTAAATCCTAAAATTAAATTTTAATAGACTCTTTATTTTAATTTATAATAATGTTATTAATTGTCAATATTAATTTATTTCAATTACTAAAATAATATTTCAATTGAATAACATTACAAAAATTGATGAATAACATTATTAGAATAATTTTAATCGCTACTATTACATGAAATAGAAACATTTATAATTATGTTCAAATATTACCTCTATAAATAGATTTGCTTCTTCACTTCACTTCACTCACTCACTCACTCCCTCACATTTTCCTCCATGAAGAAGATTAAAACTCCCTTGCTGTTTCTGCTTCTTATCACATTAACTTTAACTCAATGTTTTGCGAGTGCTGAAGCAGAATTGAGTGAGGAAAATGTGTCGCCTGAGACCGTCCATTTCGATCTCGGAGGCCTCAGCAGAAACAGTTTCCCAAAGGATTTCGTGTTCGGAACGGCAGCTTCTGCATACCAAGTTGAAGGCATGGCCGATAAAGACGGCCGGGGACCTAGTATATGGGATCTCTTCATCAAAGCTCCCCGTAATTCTACTCAATTTCCATTTCCTTTAAGTGAAGACAAAAATTTAATTTCTTTTCTATCTGTCATAGTCTAATCCATTTACAGATCATCCCATAAAAGCCATACCACGCCCCTGTTTGGTTTATCTAAAATTTATATTTTTAGTAGATTTTGATAAAATTTAATAAAATGCGTGGATGAAAAGTCGTGGCTGCTCTAAAATATGTGAAGAAAATTAATGGTTAATTTCTACTTAAATTTTTATTACGATTTTATGCTACACCACACAGAGGTCATATTTCACGCACTGAATCTTTTTAGGTCGTGTTTGGTGCACCAAATTAGATTGAATAAAGAATTTAGTATGAAATTAAGGTCGATAGCATTCTTTGATTTTTCGTATACGGTTCACATCAAAATAAAAGAATATAATTCGCTTTCATCCACTGTATAATACCATTTAATTTTATACTAAATTTGTTATTAGGTTTAATCCAGTCAAGGGTAACCTTACTTTTCGGGTTTTATTTTTTATTTTTTCTTGTTAAGAACTCCAGAGAAAATACCACAGTGAGGGCATCTTTCAATATCTCTGATCACTTTGTTTTTTTCTTGATAAACAGGACGTGAGCCCAATAATGCCACTGGAGAGGTGTCTGTGGACCAGTATCACAAATACAAGGTGTGTAAGATTGTACTCTCTCCAGTATTTTTTTTTTTTTTTTTTTAAACAAGTATTGATAATCTGATACACGTTTTCTGATTTTAGCATTTCTTTGAGGAATGTTTTCCACAGATATCTTGGATAATGGAGCAACCTTAAAACCTTTGTATAGCTTTAAATATCGAAAATAGAATATAGTAGGATGGAAAAACTTGTTCTCAGGCATTTCAAGTTATTGCTTAGCAATTATGCACGGAAAATCAGGGTGCAAAGCCGTGCATCAAAGCAACTTTTTTTTTAACGGTATGTAGACATGTTGTCAAGAAGATTTATGGAACTTATAATTTTTTTTTCCGTGTGGATATGTAGCAAGATGTTGATCTTATGGTGAAACTGAACCTTGATGCTTACCGGTTTTCAATCTCATGGTCAAGAATATTCCCAAGTAATATTTGTAACAGCTATTTCTAGTTATCTTTATTTATGAATAAACAGTAGCACGAGTAATGTGACATCTTGTTTAAATGTAGATGGAACTGGGAAAGTAAATTGGAAGGGTGTCGCTTATTATAACAGGCTGATCAACTATATGCTTAAAAGAGGTATAAAGAACATGTATAGTGCAACTAAGAGCATGCTGTGTTATAGCTCATCAAGTATTTATACACCGAGACGATATGATCTAAATATTCAAATAACAATTGGTTAATTTCGACAGGCATTACTCCGTATCCTAATCTCAACCATTATGATCTTCCACAAGCACTTCAGGATAGGTATAATGGGTGGCTCGGCCGTGAAGTAGTGTAAGTATCATAAGAGAAGCAATAGCATTTGTATAGTTGTGTTTTATCATTCCAATCAACATTGATCAACTAGTCGGAAGCCAAAATATTTATTGTGTTTCTAGTTCAAGTCTGATAGCATATTATTCAAATTTTGCAGGAAAGATTTTGCTGATTATGCAGAATTTTGTTTCAAGACATTTGGGGATAGAGTAAAGAATTGGCAGACGTTTAATGAACCTCGAGTAATAGCGGCCCTTGGGTATGATACTGGGTTCTTTGCACCTGGAAGATGCTCGAATTGCACGGAAGGAGATTCTACTACTGAACCTTATATTGTTGGTCATAATCTTATCTTATGTCATGCAGCTGCTGCTCAAAGATACAGGAAATATCAAGTAAAATAATATATATTTCCTCTTTTTATACATGAAATATTATGCATTTTTTTCAATCTGCTTCAATATGTGCGACTATGCATTTTTTTCTCTCTTAATAGGTAAATTCAAGTTTTCTATGTGGTTAAAGGGAAAGTATGTTTCTAAATGATTTACAAAATGTGGTTTCAGGAGAAACAAAAGGGAAGGATTGGCATTCTTCTGGATTTCGTTTGGTATGAACCATTGACAAGATCTAAAGCCGACAATTTTGCGGCTCAAAGGGCGAGAGACTTTCACATCGGATGGTAAGAATAAATAACAGTAGTTCTTGCTAAAGATTTACAGATTTTAACTCAAGATAGCGTTTAACCAAAATTTTAGTCACTTCAACTGAAATCTATGCCATCTTTGCAAAGAACCATAAGCATCTCCTGCCATTTAACGTGCACAGGTTCATGCATCCTCTTGTATATGGTGAATATCCAAAAACGATGCAAAACATCGTTGGGAAAAGGCTACCAAAATTCACAAAAGAAGAGTTTAAGATGGTAAAGGGATCCTTTGATTTCGTGGGCATAAATCAGTATACTGCTTACTATATGTATGAACCACATCGAAATAAGACGAAGACCTTGGGCTACCAGCAAGATTGGGATGTTGGATTTGCTTGTAAGATACTCTCGTCCTTTTGCTTTTGACATTGGATCAACATTTACATTTATTGAATAATATTACTTTGTCCGTTGCCTTTTCAGATTATCGTCATGGAGTGCCGATCGGTCCAAGGGTAACTTAGCTCAAACTATATAATTTACAAAACTGAGCCAAACTTTTATTATGCACTTTTTGCTGATAAAAATGTCAATATGAATTCGTTATAATCAGGCAGTGTCTGATTGGCTCTACATTGTACCATGGGGTCTGCACAAAGCTATTAACTATGTTAAAGAGCGCTATGGAAATCCTACCATGATTTTGGCTGAGAATGGTACATTTTGTATTTGATATTCATTGGAGTATCGTGTTAAAGTGAAAAATTATCGAAAATGCTAAATTACTTTCATATGACTGTCAGGAATGGACGATCCTGGGAATTCAACACTTTCTAAGGCTTTGCATGATACCACAAGGATCAACTACTACAAGAGCTATTTAGCACAATTGAAGAAAACAATCGATGAGGGAGCCAATGTGATCGGCTACTTCCAATGGACATTGCTCGATAATTTTGAATGGAGACTCGGGTACACATCTAGGTTTGGCATTGTCTACGTTGATTTTAAAACCCTCAAGAGATACCCGAAGATGTCGGCCTACTGGTTTCAGCGGCTGCTACACCGAAGCAAGCATTAAGCAGAAAGAATTGTTTCTCTCTGCTTTAGCTGAGTAGATTTAATATTTATATTATCATTCCTTAGGGAATCAATAAGCTCTAGTTAAGAAGCCCTGTTTTTTTTCTCTCTAATTCAGTTTCTTCAGTATGAATTGCCTTTTCCTGCTCTCCATTGGAAATTTAAAGCTGCCAAATGTATCTAGAGAGAATCTAGTTTGAAAATCGAAAAGCTTTTCGAAGCGGATCTAAAGGAAAAGTACGATGAACAAAATTTTATCTTTTCTTACATAACAATGAGGGTGCATTATCGTTGGTAGTTTCAAGTCGAGTGATGTTTAATTTATTAGTTCAATAAACAAAATGTTTGATTTTATTTTTATTTAATAGTGTTCAGCATTATTAAATAGAATCCATTATAAATTAATAATTAATGCTTATTTCCCACCAAGAAGCTGCACCAACCATGTGAAGTAGATAGATATTTTTATGCCCGTTAGGTAGGAAGAATATTTTTATTTTGTCTTTGACTTACGACATCACTATACATAATGCATTTCACAACTCAATTCTTAATTATATTGTTTGATAATTTGTAAGTATTTTGTCTTAAATATATTATCTGCAAGCCTGTCACCCCCCATCCCTCTCCAGTAATGCTATTGCCACACCAGATTGAAACCTTCTATTGCCCCTCGTTTGATTTAGCTAAAAATCAAATGTTCGGTAAATTTTGATAAAAGTTAATGAAACGTGTGATTGAAAATTTGCTAAAAGTTGTAGATTATATGAAATATATCCTTGAAAATAAACTTGAGGAAAAATAAATTTTAGAAAATGGGATCAAACATGATCATTGTAAAATTTCCAAATATTTGCTTCGATAACTATATAGCATCTTCACCTACTACACTCATCCTCACTCACATTTTGCTTATCTTCACCATGAAGATTGAAGTGGTAGATCATCCCTTAAGGGTCGGTGACCTTGCATCGAAGTGCAGCGATCCATCTTGCTTGTCGCCGAGGATGGCTTCCTCTATCAACCTATATGATTCGCCCCCTACCCCTTGTCGATGTTTTCGACAAGGGGTAGTAATTTTCTTTATCCGGGTTGGTTTGAATTTTTTTTTTTAATGACAAATGAGTAGTTCGTATTAGCAAGTCGAGCAATGCAATCGAAATCAAGTAGCAATTTTACTATACACATGGCACCCCATCAATGGTCCTAATGTTGGAGGGAATTTCCCCCCTAAAAAGTTTGAATTCTTGTGTCTATAAAAGGGGGGTGATTTCTACTTCAAAGAATCACTCTCAATTTCTCTCAACATCCTAGGTTTTCTCCCTTTTAAGATAATTTTTTCTCCTTTTTAATCCAAAGTCTTGCTTTGAATTTGTTCTCTTCATCTTTTTTTTTTTGTTGTTGTCATGTATAAGACTATTATTTCTTCTCCTTCCAATGAGAATAGTGATGGAGGTGTAGTGACTCGACCGGACCTTCGTTGGAGGGTACCGAAGGGGGTCCGATTGGCCTACGGGGGGCCGACCGGTGACCAGCGGGGCTGGTCGAGTGACGGCTAGCCTTTGAGCTAGCCTTCCCCCGGCTTCCCCTGAGCTTTGTGGCCCGTCTGGCCCCTCGACCCGACTCGCTAGTGATTCGTCCCCTTCATCTGGTAGATCTCTTTATGAAGGCTGGTCGAGCGACGGCCAGACTTCAGGCTGGCCATCCCCCGACTTCTCCTAAGCTTCGTGGCCCATTCGGCCCCTCGACCTGACTCGCTAGTGACTCGCCTCCTTCGTCTGGTAGATCTCTTTATGACATTAATAGTGAAACTCATTTAATTGATTCTCAGGTGTTTGTCCCAAATTCCCCTAAGAGGCACATTAGTTCTACCAAATTTCCAAACCAAAATTTAGAAATTAGGCAAGACCCGGCTGGTGAGGTTGTCCCCCTAGATATCCCAAAAAGTTATAGTCTTTAAAATTTCCCACTTAATTTGGAAAAATGTCTAGGTAAGTATGACCGGGTTGATGATTACGTCTATAGAGCCCCCGGTTCTAAAGAAAGACTCCCTGGGTCCGAACCCCGCGAGGTAGCCGTGTACAAAGATGTTATGGACGAGGGTTTTTGGTTCCCCATTCATCCATTTTTTGTGTCGATTTTTAATGAGTTTCACCTTACTCCTAGTCAAATAAATCCCAACACATGGAGAAAGGCGTTATATTTCCTATATGTTTGTCTCGAAAGGAAAATATCACCTTCCATAGACCTTTTCAGGTGTGTCTTCGAAATGCATGAGCTAGTTTAGTGTAATGCATTCGTCTATTTTACCACCAGAGTTCCTTTGCAATTTCCTGAATTTAGAAATTTGAATAGCGGATTGAAATCCCGGTTCTTCTTCGTCCGGCCTTTCGCAGGTCGATTCTTTTTCAACACCAATTGGCGACACCCCTAAATTCATTTCTTCAATAGCCAAGTAGAAGTTACCTCCTTTCTAAAAGCTCAAATCCAAGAGTTGGTTGATGTACCGCCTCTCGTACCTGACTTAGGATCAGTCTTAACCATGAAGAACATGTTGATAGTGGGGATGAGTCGTCCTACTGGTAGGTTGTTTCTGTCGATTTTTTTTATCGCGTGCACACACGTTCATTTATTATTTTTTGCTTTTAGTTTTTTAGGACTAATGAGTTTGGGTGTGTGCATACAGATATGGACTTTGATCTTGAAGAGGTATTGAAGACCCTACCAGGAGGCGATGAGGGCTCTGCTCCCGTTGATGGTAAGCTTTTGTGTTCACCTCCCTTTTTTTGTATCCTCGTGCTCTTCTACCTTGCAATCTTAACGGATTATAACTTATATGTGCAGGGACAGAGTTTGATCTTGAAGGGATCATGGATTCCATGCCCGACTAGGGGCAGAGGGATGGGGCAGATCCATCACCTATCCCTTCAAAGAGAATGAGAGCAGCCGACCAAGGGGGGAGGTCTCGGGTGATCAATGAGACCTCCCAGCCTCCAGACGAGCCCGTGAGGTGGCTCGAACTCCTAGGTCGAATGCTTCCAGCCGTGCACGGTGTGAGCACGAGGATTCACTTCCCAACTTCGTGTTTCCTCCCACCCGGGGCTATCATGAGATAGGGGTGCTCAAGTCTTTGGTGACACCCCTTCGATCTAGAGCAATTGTAGGGCATAGTGCAGACGACATTGAAAGGGCTGTGGCTATTTATCTCTAGAGGATACGTTTCCAATTTCGCATTTTCTTTTATGTTGGGTCTTGCCTTTTAAGCTTGGTTTTAACGCTTGACTTTTATTTTACCCCATCATTTCTTAGGTGGTAGCCCTCCAGACTGGACTCTTTGAATCGAATCGCCGCCTAGCCTCAGAGTTGAAGACTTTAACTGAAGAAAAGAAAAAGAAGGCTCATCACTACAAGAAAAAGATATCCTCTTTGAAGAAATCTCTGAAGACGTTGGATGCTCGAGCTCGCGAGCAGGAGACGGAGAATGACAACTTGCATTCTGTTTTGGCTCACGCTCCGAAAGAGGCGATTGAGAGGTATAAGGCCTCAACTGAGTATGCCAGAGATCTTGAGGTATCTGTGAAGTAGTATAAGACATCGTCTGATTATGCTAAGGCTTTGAATTCATATGGGGGGAAGGCGATGGCAACATCTATCAAACTCTCCAAGAAGTGGATTGTGGCCGATTATCCTTCTATAGACCCTCTGGTCTAGATAGATTTCTTGCACAGCTCAAGGGAAAGAAGAGTGAAGCACAGTCATCCAGGTCGCTTGGACGTTCATCACAAGGTGGTAGTGGAGATGTCTCCCCTTCGAGCTAAAGCATTTCTTAGTTGTTGTTCCCTTTGCTAGCTTTTCATTTTTCGTGTTTACTTTTGTGGAGTCTCATTATCTTCTACTTGTCCGGGATGTGGGCAAGAGTTTCTCATATGTATAAATACATTTTTCGTTCGCTATTATTATTGTTGAGTGCATTGTTCTTTCAACTTGTCGTCTCTCGTGTCGTCTCTCGTCTTTTTCTTTTCACTGTTTGATGGTGTAGAGAAGTGGCTTTTTATCGGGCTAGAGTTCATTGGTCGATGGCCCTAGCCAATTTTAGCCTTGTGTTACCCCGTGCCTAGCTGCATAGGCTATGTCGACCATCGAGAAAGGAGTCTAGCGGTTAAGGACCTTAGCCAATTTTTGGCTTGTTAAGGCTCTCAGCCTAGCCGCATATGCTATGTTGACCATCAGGAGATGGGTCTTGCGGTGAAGGGCTTTAACCAATTTTTGGCTTGTTAAGGCTTTCCGCCTAGTCGCGTAGGCTATGTCGACCTTCGGGAGAGGGATCTAGCGGTTAAGAGCCTCAGCCAATTTTTGGCTTGTTAAGGCTCTCTGCCTAGCCGCGTAGGCTATGTCGATCGTCGAGAGAAGGGTCTAGCGGTTAAAAGCCTCAGCGAATTTTTGGCTTGTTAAGGCTCTCCGTCTAGCTGCGTAGGCTATGTCGACTGTCAGGAGAGGGGTCTAGCGATTAAGGACCTTAGCCAATTTTTGGTTTGTTAGGGCTCTCCGCCTAGCCGCGTAGGCTATGTCGACCGTCGGGAGAGGGGTCTAACGGTTAAGGACGTTAGTCAATTTTTGGCTTGTTAAGGCTCTCCGCCTAGTCGCGTAGGCTATGTCGACCGTGGGGAGAGAGGTCTAGCAGTTAAGGGCCTTAGCCAATTTTTGGCATGTTAAGGCTCTCCACCTAGCCACGTAGGCTATGTCGACCGTCGGGAGAGGGGTCTAACGGTTAAAGGCCTTAGCCAATTTTTGGCTTGTTAAGGCTCTCCGCCTAACTGCGTAGGCTATGCCGACCGTATGTCTTCATGGGATGAGGGGAGAGTCTGTACATAAAAATACTTGGATTCGTGAGCTCATTAGGCGCACCGGGACGTCCCAGCTAGGCTGGCCCTTCCTTAGCGCTCTCATCACTTGCCACTGCCTAGGTTTTTTATTGAATAAACAAATACAACTAAGGGTGTCTTCGTGAGGCATTACATAGAGAGAATTAATAAGGCAATCTATCTCCTGTATTTACAAAAATGTAGCCCATGCGTCTATTCTAAAATCTACTGATAGAATTTTTTGAGATGCTCTACGTTCTACGGTCTACCCAGTGGTCATCCTTTCATGTCTTTCAAGCTGTAAGCCCCCTTTCCTAGGCTGTGGATCACTTCATATGGGCCTTCCCAGTTTGATTCGAGTTTTGTTGGGGGTGTCCTGCTGCTGCCGCATCTCTTAATATGAGGTCTCCTGGTTGAAAGATTCTTGGTTTCACTCTCCGATTGAAGTATTCGACGGCTCTCCGTTTATAGGTCATCATCTTTATTGCCGCCTTCTCCCTTACTTCTTCTAGTAGGTCGAGTTCTCCTCTGGTCACGGTGTCATCGGGCTATCTGACTTTCATCTTGCCTATCTCACTCAAAATTTCAACTGGGACTACGGCTTCCATCCCGAAGGTTAGTCTGAATGGTGTCTCCCCGGTCAGCTCTCGTAGAGTCGTGTGGTACGCCCACAGCACGTTGGGTAGCTCGTCTGCCCAAAGCCCCTTCTCCTTTTCCAATCCGGTCTTCAGATCCCAGAGAATGACTCAGTTGGTCACTTCAGCTTGCCCGTTCGATTGTGGGTGAGAGACCGAAGTTAGTCTATGGTCGATGTGATAACTTGCACAAAAAGTCTTGAAGCTATGATTGTCAAATTGTCTGCCGTTATCTGTCACCATTACCCTGGGTATCCCGAATCGGCATATTATATTTTTCCATATAAAACCCTGTACTTTTGCAGTCGTGATGGTCGCAAGTGGTTCTGTCTCTACCCACTTGGTGAAGTAGTCGATGGCAACCAACAAAAACTTCCTTTGCCCCTTGGCTAAAGGTAGAGGCCCTAAAATGTCCATCCCCCACTGAAAAAATGGGCACACCCCAAAAATGGCTGTCTGTTGCTCAGTTGGGACGTGGATCAAATTTTCATGTCGTTGACATGTGTTACACTTTCTTAATAAGTCTTTGGCATCTTTTCATGGTTGGCCAATAGTAACCTTACCGTAGAATTTTGAAAGCAAGGGATGTTGCCCCTTGGTGCTTACCACAAATCCTAGCATGTATCTCAAACAGTATCTCTTTAGCTTCTGAGGGTCGTATGCACTTCAGTTATGGCATGGTGAAACCCCGCTTGTAAAGTTGCCCATCAATGATGGTGAATGAGGCTGCCCGAGCTCTCAACCTCCTTGCTTCAAAGGGATCTTCCGATGTTTTATTTTTTGTGAGATATTTGATTAACGGATCCATCCAGCTTTCCTCGTACTCAATATTTTTCACCTCGACCCAGCGTTGGATGCTGGGTTGCTGTAAGACTTGTAGGTCCGCTGTTCACGCCAGATTTCTTGGGTTTGCTGATGCGAGTTTCGCTAGCGTGTATGCCCGCTCATTTTCCTTTCGTGGGACCTTTGTCATCCTGAAGCTTGCGAACCCCCTTTGTAGATCCCTTACTTTAATCAGGTAGGCTGCCATCTTTCCATCCTTAGCCTCATATTCTCCCAACACCTGTCCAACTATCACCTGCGAGTCAATGCAAACCTCTATCGAAGACACCCCCAACCTAGCTGCTAGACCTAGGCCTGTGATTACTGCTTCATACTCAGCATCGTTGTTAGTGGCGGGGAACTTGAAACGCAGTGAGTACTCCAATTCCTCGAGTCTGGCCCAATCATTATGATTCCTGCCCCTGATCCTTCCGTATTTGAAGAACCGTCCACAAAAACCTTCCAATCTGTCTTTTGCCCTTCTGGGGGTTTTGCTGGGTGGGTGAGCTCAGCAATGAAGTCTGCCAGAGCCTACGCTTTGATGACGGTCCTTGGCTTGAATTCAATGTCAAATTCACTCATTTCAATTATCCATTTTAGTAGTCTGCCAGATGTCTCTAGTCGATGTAGGATCTACTGATGGGTTGGTCAGTCATCACTTGTACCGTATGAGACTGAAAGTAAGGCCTCAATTTTCTGACCACAATGATCAATGTGAGCACCAGTTGTTCGACTAGACTGTACCTTGTCTTTGCGCCTTTGAGGACCTGACTGACATAATAGACTGGTTTCTGTGCCTTTGGGAATTCCTTTACAAGAACTGCACTGACTACCCATGGCGATACTACGAGGTAGAGACATAGTACACCCCCAGGGCATGGGCTGTCAATATGGGAGGCTGCTGTAGTGACCTCTTCAAGGATTCCAACGACTCCTCACACTCTTGAGTCCACTCAAAATTTGTAGAGCCCCCAATGGCTTTAAAGAAATGGTAACACTTATCCGCCGCCCGGCTCATAAAACGGTTAAGGGCTGCCACACGCCCTGTCAGCCGTTGGACCTCCTTCCTACTAGTGGGGCTTCTCATTTCAAGTATTACCTGTATCTTGTCAGGATTCGCCTCAATACCTCGCTGGGTGATCATAAAACCTAAGAACTTTCCACTGACTGTACCAAAAACACATTTCTCAGCTATGTCGAACACTCTCTGCAAACAGGTCACGTGGTCGATGGCCTTAATACTTTTTACCACCATATCGTTGACGTAGGCTTCTATGACATTTCCAACAAACTCCTGGAAGACCCTATTCACCATCCTTTGGTAAGTTGCCCCTATATTCTTCAAGCCGAAAGGCATGGCAATGTAACAGTAGGTTCCAGAATCTGTGATGAACGACTTCTTCTCTTGGTCACACTCAGCCATAGATATTTGATGATACCTCGAGAAAGCGTCTAGGAAGCTGAGCCTCTCATGACCCGACGTGGCGTCGGCGAGGTGGCCTATCCGTGGAAGATGGTATGAGTCCTTAGGGCATGCCTTATTTAATCCGGTGTAATCTATGCACATGCGCCACTTCCCATTCAACTTTTTTACTAGCACAATGTTGGCTAGCCATTCGGGGTACCGTACCTCTCAGATGAAACCTACTTGCAGTAGCTTTTCCACTTCCGCCCTTGCTATTTCTTGCCTTTCGAGGGCGAGGTTCCTTTTCTTCTGCTTTACTGGTTTGGCTCCAAGTAGAACTCCGAGGCAATGCTGAGCGAGTGCTGGGCTGACCCCAGTGATATCACTTAGGCTCCATGCAAAAACATCTAGGTTGTCTGTCAGGTACCTCACCAGCTTCCATTTTTTCTTCAGAGTCCAACTCGACCCCGATGCTGACCTCCCGGCCCTCCATTATGGAAATCTTTTCGATCATGTTAAGTGGCTCAATCCGCCCTCTCGGAGGTTCAACTTCTAACATCATGACTGATGGGGCTCGTTTGACTGATATACCGTCGACATAACATTTTCTGGATGCTTGCTGATCCCCCCCACACACACCCGACTCCCTTGCTGGTTGGGAATTTCAGGACCTGGTGATAGGTCGAGGAGATGGCTCTAGTTGCGTTGAGTAACGGCTGACCGTAAATTGCATTATAGGCCATGGGGGTATTAACGACCAAAAAGCTTGCCACAATTACCATAGTGGTTGGATATGTGCCTAGCGTGATCGGGAGCTCCACAGTACCTTCTGGAATCACCGTGGCTCCTCCAAAGCCTTGCAAGGGGGTGTTCACGATTTTTAACTTATCAGGTGGGACCTTCAGGCCTAAAAAAGCGTCCCAGATGAGTACATTTGTGGCACTTTCCCCGTCAACCAACGCTCTTTTGACGTCAAAATCAGCTATGTCGCCTACTATTACTAGGGCATCATCATGGGGATGCGCCATGCCTACCAAGTCTTCCTTGCCAAAAGTGATGCTCTGGCTAAACCTTGCCTTCTTTTGGATGGAGCAGATCCCGAGCGTACGTAGCTTTTCCTTGCGAATTTGAATCTCCCCTTCCTGCTAACCCTCCTGTAATCATGTTTATCACTCCGGCCCTAGGTGGGGGACGATCCTCCATCTTTTGCTTCCCTCGGTTGTCCTTCACATATTTGCCCAGGAGACCCCACCTTAGGAGGCGCTCGATCTCCTCCTTCAGTTGCAGGCACTCTTCAGTATCATGCCCGTGATCCTTATGGAAATGACAATATCTGCCCTGGTTTTTTTGCCCATTGGCGTCACCACGGGTCTCGACCATTCTAGCTCTTTCATGTCTCGTATTTCCATCAATAGTTTGGCACGTGGGGTCTTCAAAGGGGTGAACGCCCTGGACTCCGCTCGTTTGTGCCTGGCTGGCCGGTCTTGGGCGGCCCCTTTAACCATCTGCTCACTCATTGGCCTATTTTTGTTGGCAGGTCTTAGCTCATCCCCCGCCTTGCGCTTGTGACTTTCTACTTCCCATCCATCTCTGGGGTTCTTTTTGACTTTCTCTACCTCCTCGACATCAACATACTTGTCTCCCCTTTTCAATAGGTTATGCATTGATTCTGAGGGTTCTTGGAAAGTGACATCTTAAAAGTCCGGTTCTGAGTTCCATTCATCAACATAGTCACCACTGTCGACATCTGAAGGTCCTCTATTCCAAGGATCGCACGGCTAAATCTGGCCAAATATTCCTGCAGAGACTCATCTTTCTCCTGGACCACCTGTATCAGTCCAATGGCTGTCCTCCTCTTTCTCTTGCAACTCAGGAAGTAGGCTACAAAACTCCTGAAAAGTTCATCTAATGTTCAGATAGACCAGGGGCAAGTGTTGCCACCCAGTCTCTGGCTTCCCTCCTGAGAGTCGGGGAAAAAGACCGGCATATTACCGCATCGGGTGCTGCATAGAGTCTCATCAGATCAACGAAGGTCCACAGATGGTCAAGCGAATCTATAACCCCATCATAAGCCTCTATCATAGGCTGCTTGAAGCCTTTAGGTAAAGGGACTGCCATGATTTCGAGCGCGAACGGGTCCTCTTCTAGGACCATCTGCCTGCGTTTGTCTTTTCTTTTAGATATTGCATCATCAATTTTCTTCGTTATGATCTCCTCCATTCTCTGCTCCAGATCCACCAGGGGTGGGACGGACTGCAAGACCATCATCCCTGGAGCCCTCGAGCCTGCGTTCACTAGTTGGATGGTAGGCGGTGTTTCTATGTGTTCCTCCTGGGGTAGAGGCAGGGCATCTACCGAATGCGGTGGAAGGGTGGCTTTCTGGGTTTGATCCTGTAAGAGGGTCATCATGGCCGATAACTAGGTCTCTAAGGCGCTAAACTGGCTTTGCATCACATACTGCGATGGGGGCGACGGATCGGGGCCTCTGGCGATCGATTCTGATTCTACCTCCATCGTTGCTGCACTTAGGTGTGTGTCACTTCTTGTTCATCTTCTCGACATGACCTTTGTGTTCAGTGAAGAGTTTTCCACAGACGGCGCGAATGAAGTGATAGCGGAACAACACCCTTCTATCCGCCTGGTGGCGTTCAACATTTCAGTTACTCCGTCAAGTGTATATGACTTGAAAAATGAAGGTGGGGCTTCCTCCCCCGTTTAACCTCCGACGTGAGATGTGAGAATTAGTTTATAGATTGGAAAAAATGTAATTGGAATTCAAATGGCTCAAAAGAGAGAGAGAGAGAGAGAGAGAGAGAGATCTCCTTACCTGTATCACATCCGGGGGTATTTATAGATATTGGGAGCTGGATAATCGCTGGGCGGTCGTGGTGCCATGTGTCCCACGTTGGCATTCTCACTACCCCCACGTGCCGAGTGGGGGTCTTTAACTTCTCGCTTGGTGGTTGCGCCCGTATTAACCGCCATGAAACCTAGTTAATTCACTAGAGGTTTTATGGCTAAATGTTTGGATAATCATATAGGCAATTCCATGCCAGTTGAAGACTTCGCGTAGAGGTAGAGAGACCTTGGGGGGTCAAAGGCCTCGCGTAGTAGTAGAGCGCCCCCTGGGGTAATGGTAGAGCACCCCTGGGGGGTCGACTTCCTTGCATAGTGGTAGATCACCCCGTGGGGGTAGTGGTAGAGCACCCCTGTCCCGTGCATGGTGGTAAAGCACCACTTGGGAATAGTGGTAGAGCATCCCTTAAGGGTTGGTGGCCTTGCATCGAAGTGCAGCGATCCATCTTGCTTGTCACCGAGGGTGGCTTCCTCTACCAACCTATATCAAAGATGAATAGAACCCCCTTGCTGGTTCTGCTTCTTACCACATTAAGTTCCACTCCTTGTTTAGTGACTGCAAAAATAGAATTAATCGTCGAAAATGTGTCACCAGAGACTGTCGGTTTCCATCTTGGAGGCCTCAGCAGAAACAGTTTTCTAAAGGATTTCGTGTTCGGCACAGTAACTTCTGCATACCAAGTTGAAGGCATGGCTAATAAAGATGGCGGAGGACCTAGTATATGGAATGTCTTCATCAAAGCTCCCGATCAGTGTTTAGTTAGCAGTTTTAACATTGTACTATACTATCTAATTCTTCATTAGCTCTATTTTTGTCGATGGAATCTTATTTTATCGCCCACTTTGGTCTGGAAAATAGGGCGGGAGCCCAATAATGCATCTGTTCAAGTAGCAATGGACCAGTATCACAAATACAAGGTAGTTGGATTTTAACTCTTCATTTAAATTTTGACTGTGAATGAAGGAAATTTTACTTGATACATTTCTGTGGATATATAGCAAGATGTGGATCTTATAGCGAAACTGGACTTGGATGCCTACCTGTTTTCAATTTCGTGGCCAAGAATATTTTCGAGTAATTTTTGTAATAGTTATTTCCACTTAATCTTAATTTATGAATAATCATTACCACAAATAACTAAATGTTCTTCAAATGTAGATGGAACTGGGAAAGTAAATTGGAAGGGAGTAGCTTACTACAACAGGCTGATCAACTATATGCTCAAAAAAGGTAACAAAACATTTATCCAGTTAAAGTCATGTTCTGTCATAACTCATCAAGTCTCTACATTTGGTTATTTTTCGTTAGGCATAACTTCATATCCTAATCTTATTCATTATGATCTTTCGCAATCGCTTCAGGATAGGTACAATGGGTGGCTTGGCCGTGAAGTAGTGTAAGTATCATAAGAAAAATAATGGCATTTTATATTCGTATAATGATATTGCATAATATTTATTCAAACTCTGCAGGAAAGATTTTGCTGATTATGCATAATTTTGTTTTATAACATTTGGGGATAGAATAAAGAATTGGCAGATGTTTAATGAACATAGAGTGATGTTGAAAACTGGGCTGCCTCAAATTTATTTGGACCGTGTTTTTGCAAAATAAGTCAGGCCCAAACTTTTTTTTTTATAAAATCGTGTTTTTGCAGTAAAAACATTTTTTGCCTCTTATGAGGGTTGGGCTGTGTCGTACATGTGGCACAGCCCCAACCCTTGGATCGACTATTCACTTGGACGGATATTTATTTTGGCTCTTAGTCTTCATTCAGTCGAACAATTTAGTTTCTAGAATTTTCTCGTGTACTCTCTTTCTCTCTCTGTGTGAGGTTTTTCTTCGTGGTTTTCTCACTCTCTCTAAAAATCTGAAATTCTTTGTGTTGTAATCTTTCATTTTTGTAAAGAAAGGTTGAGTGATCTGTGTGATCTTGTTTGAGAGAGAAGTTGTGTGAAAGGAGGCGAGATAAAACAAAGAAATCTCTGAGTTCTTCGAACATTTGTACGATTTCTTTGTGAAACTTAGTGGAATCTCGAGCATACTCTTGACTGAGGCTCAATAGGTGATTATGTTCTTTGAACTGAACATCCGGGCTCCTTGTGGAGCAAAAACATATCTGTTGTTATTTTTATTTTCGCGATTTACATTTCTGTAGTTTGAGTTTCTTTGTAAAATTGTTTCTAAAATTACGAAATAATAATTGTCTGGGACCAACAAGTGGTATCATAGCTTGTTTCTAAAATTTCTTTACAGTCTATTTCTTGAAATCGTTTTTCGACTTACTGATCTGCCAAGATCTGAAGTTTTTTTTTTTTTTTTTTGGTTTTTTTTTCAAAAAAAATTTTTTAAACACTCTCGATCTGTTTCTGACTTGTGGTATTCTTCGTAAAACTTGGTTATTTCAAAATAACTGGTCAGATCTTGCAAGATCTGACATTGACTGTTCTTGCTGTTGAAACGTTTTGTTGCAAAAGTTCATAACTCGGTACTAACCTTTTTTTTGATTTGCTGTTTCTGGTACTGAGTTCAAGTAACTCGGTACAACTCGTACTGAGTTTGACGAGTTGAGTTTACCCACCCTGAGTTCATACTGAGTCACTGATATATTGCTGAGTTCATACTGAGTCACCACAACTCGGAGGGTTCTTGAACCTGCATTGACATTCTGATCACATTTCGGATAATCACTGATTGGTATTTGTATTCTGAAATTAAAATTTTTTTAGAACGTGGTATTTTCTAATACCTCCTCATATTTGTAATTGTTACCTTGATTATTTCTGGAACCAGTCATTAAGTTCAGTAATCCTCCATTACTTTCCTTTGTTCGGATCTCCTGTGAGGGTCTAGGAATCTGAGTGAGTAGTGGAACTAAGGATTATCACCCCTTAGGCTGTTAAATACGTGAATTCCTTATTTCTATCAACTATAATTGGTTCTTTTGTAGCTCTGCATGATATATTGTCTTATACATATCTCTGTTAGCTTGCTTACTTATCACATTCTTGCTATTGGAAATCTGTTAATTGAAAGTGCAATACTCTGTGTGCTGTGTTACTGTGATTTTGTGAATAATTTGTCAATATGTCAACCTCTCATAAATTTGAAGTTGAAACTTGGACTGGCACTGGAGACTTCAGTCTTTGGCGCCAGAAAATGAGAGCCCTG